TTTTAGAGATCTTCCTGGATTTCATTGTAGTTTTTCCCCATTAGCCTTCTTTACCATTTTTCTTATAGGTAATGTATAGCAATATATATTTATAATAATACTAGTGGCCCGGTGCACGAAATTCGTGCACATTGAAAGGGAATTAGAGGAAATATTTTAATATTGCTATTTGCCCTTTCCTCAGCTGTGATGACAACCACACCACCCCAGCCGCCCGGCCAGCCCTGGTCTGCCAGCGGGAGCCGGTCCCGGGTTGGGGGCGTGACTGCGGGCGGAAGCCACAGCTGCCTCCCCAGCCCCGGTCTGCTGGCAGGAAAGGATCGTGGGGCGTGACTGCGGGCGGAATCCGAAGCCGCCCCGCCAGCCCTGGTCTGCTGGTGGGAGAGCCGGTTGGGGTCTTGGCCAGTAGGGGACAGCTGTGGTCACCCCCGCCAGCCCTGGGTTGGGTCACCTGCCATCCAGGTCACAGATAGCAGGCCTGGATGGCGGAGGGGCAGGCAGGATGGCGCTGTCCCATCCTGCCTGCAGTATGCAAATTAGCCGCCATCTTTGTTGGCGGTTAACCGCCATCTTAGTTGGCAGTTAATTTGCATATCTCAGTGATTAGCCAATGGGAATGGTAGCGGTCGTACGGCTAATTACCATGTTTCTCTTTTATTAGATAGGATAATTGTTCATTCTTTCCTATATACTGCAGTATCACTTAATATTTGCTACTATTCAGAAAAAAAGCTTCTATGCATATCCTCTCTAAAATAACAGCAAAGTATCTTCAAGATTCTATATTTAATGCCAGTCATTCCAAGATGCTTAATTTAAAATCATTATCTATAGCATATTGGACTTTAAAAACATTCCACTTTCAAAACAAGATAGTTTAAGATAATTCAAAGAACCCACATGCAGTGAATCCTGCTATGAGGTTTGCAGGGGAAAATGAGCCAGAAGACATGTAGGTACAGTATTCTTTATTATAAACAATCAAAACAGTACAGCTGTGCATTTGAAGAATAGTTGAAACGTACATATTATAATTAAAAATATGACTTAAATAGAAGTAGTGTTTTTTGTTGTGTTTTACATTGATTTGAGCTCATCCTTAACACACGCCAGGATCAACTAATCTTGAATGCTGTTAAAATACAAAATTTGGAATGCATGTTATATTTTGCTGTAATTACTAAATATACATAACAAATATTCAGGGCCCATTAAAAATTAAGCAGGTGCTTAAAGTCTAGCAAGTGATATTTATAAAATGCTTGTGTTTTTGTTATGGGGTATTCAGTTCCTTAGAAGACAACATAAAGGGAATTTAAATGTTACATTGTATTCCAACTTTTCCAGACTTATACGTAGTGTAATCAAAATAAAACATACAGTCAATGTGTTGAACAGTGACATTGTTATAGTTCCAAAGCACAGGTAGATATTATTATTATTTTTTTAGTTATCTTCTTTATTATTACAACTGAAAATAAAACACACTTATTTGGTATAGGTCTTCAATGTTTTTAAATGTGTCAAATTCTTCACTCTGCATGCTTTTATGGTTGCAATGTACCCCTCAATAAAACAAGTGAAGTAGACGTGACTTCTGGTAGTCTGACATTTTGAATCTAGCTTAATATCTATTAAAATATCACCTAACACTTTTCACATCTCAATTTTTTAACAAGAAAAAAACACACCAAAAAACAAAACAAAACAAAATAGGCTTGAACAACAGGATAAACTTCTGTCTTGTGATATAGAGAATGTTATTATTCTTTATGTATAAACCTTCTCCATGGCAACGTTGAACATGTTTAGCTCAACTGATGCATTTACTGGCTTAGCATGTCCACTTTGCTACTTATCCTATAAAAGAATGCTATTACTTTTTTTGTATTGTCTACTTCAAGGAATGAATGCAATGAACACATTTGTAATCCTATAAAATAAAAGCCTAATATGCTAAGTGTCCAGTCAACTGGTTAGCTGCTCAACCAATCAAAGTGTAATATGCTAATGATATGCTAAGGCTGCTCAACCGCTCGCTGTGATGTGCACTGACCACCAGAGGGTAGATGCTCCGACCGGTAGGTAAGCTTGCTGCTGGGGTCCAGCTGATTGGGACTGAGCTAAACGGGCCCCGATTGTGCACCAGTGGGGTCCCTCAGCCTGGCCTATGCCCTCTTGCAATCCAGGACCCTCAGGCGATGTCAGAGAGCCGGTTTCGGCCCGATCCACAGGCCATGCCGAGGGACCCCACTAGTGCACAAATTTGTGCACTGCGCCTCTAATTCTAAAATAAAATACTACATTATAGCTTTTGGCAACTTCTCCAGCAAAAAAATTTTAAAGACTGATTAAAATGTGTCTATGTTACAATAACTGAAGGGTTAACTTCTCATCAATTCTAAATTCTCTGAATTTCACACATATCCTAATAAAGGCTTTTGGGGAGATATGACTGATGATGATGTTTACGTACCATTTTAATTATTTATTTTCAAATAAATATTTCAGGTTCACTGGAATATTTTGTCCTAGTTTCCAAAAGTTGTATACAAATCCAAGTTTTTTAAATGTCATTTATAAATAATCAGTTCTGACTAATTCTGTAAAGGTATAAGATTATCAGAGGATAATTTTTTAAATATATTTTTATTAATTTCATAGAGGAAGGGAGAGGTAGAGATAGAAACATCAATGATGAGAGAGTACCATTGATTGGTTGCCTCCTGCACGTCCCCTACTGGGGATTGAGTCTGCAACCAGGGCATGTGCCCTTGACTGGAATCGAACCTGGGACCCTTCAGTCCGAAGGCTGACACTCTATCCACTGAGCCAAACTGGCTAGGGCTCAGAGGATAATTTTGATCACGAAAGCTATGTTTGACAGAGAAACCAAGATGGCGGCATAGGTAAACACCTGAAATTGCTGTCTCACACAAGCACTTCAAAAATACAACTAAAAGACAAAATGGACATCATTCAGAACCACAGGAAGGCTGACTGAGTGGAAATTCTACAACTAGAAGGAAAGGGAAAAGCAAACTGAGACTCAGAGGAGGTGCGGAAGGTGCAGAGGTACGGAGGTGCACGTGGAAAGGGCTGGCAACTGAGGAGTCGGTTGTCTTTTTCATTCGGGAGGGAGTCACAAACTCCCGACGGCCCTGGACTCCAGTTCCAGGCGAGTCTCTGGGGACCCAGACTCATACGGGGAGAAACTGGACTGTCTGGCATCAGTCGGAACTCGAGGGCGGCTTTCTCTCAGAGGTGCTTGCAGCGATTACTGCGGGACACTGAGACCTGGGACCTCTTAGGGCAGGACTGAGGATAAGCCATACCTGTTTGCTCTGCCCTGTTGATTCCCTGAGACCCCACCACACCCAAGCTGTGGCAGAGGCTTTTGAAAATGAATGACCTGGCCCTTTGCAATCTACAATTACCTAACAAACTGCAGCTGGGTCAGAGAGACACAGAACATCCAAAAGAAGGCCCAAGGCACCACAGCAGATTGCATTGCTTCATAGCTGGGCCTCATCTAGGCACCTCCAAACCCCAAACAAAGAAGAGGAATCTGCAGATCTCTTCGTAGCTCCTGCTGGGTAGCCTCAGGCAGAGGCTAAATTAGCACCTCCTTAGAGATCCAAG